TGATCCACCCGCCTCGGCCTCCCAAAGTGCTGGGATTACAGGCTTGAGCCACCGCGCCCGGCCACGAAAGTTTTTAAAAGTAATAAATGAGGGGCCAGTGTAAGCTAGTGTTATTTTCTTGTTAATTAATACTATGCTTTCTTGATCGTATTACAGTCTTTTATGTGAGGATGAAAGGCCAAGTTATCCCATAACAGCCATGGGAGGATCTCTAGATGGGATGAGCTTTTAGGTTCTGAGATTTGAAGCGAAGATTGGTGACGAGACAGCGCCATAGGGTGGAAGAGCTTGTGCTTTAGTCTCAGAAAGACATGAATTTGAATCTGAACTGTGGCACTTGTTGGACTAAATGATTCAACTTCCCTGAGGCTGGGATTCCTTTTTCATAAAATAGGGATGAAGATCTCATGTTTTGCAGGATACTTGTGAAAATTAAAGAGATAATATGTGTAAAATGCTTGGCTCATAGCACACAACCTATATGTGGGAAGCACTGTTTAAACACTCAGGGACTTGGGTTGAAGTGTCCCCACATTTGCCCTTTGCTCTGTAAATCATCTCAGTCGGGCGCGGTGGCTCAAATCTGTAATCCCAGCACTTTGGGAGAACCAGGCGGGCGGATTGTTTCAGTCTATGAGTTCAAGACCAACGATCGCTTGAATCTAGGGGTTCGAGACTAGCCTGGCCAACATGGCGAAACTACATCTCTACGAAAAATAGAAACAAATTAGCCCAGCATCGTGGCGCGAGCCTGTAGTTCCAACTACTCGGCTGGCTGATGTGGGAGGATTGTTTGAGGTGAAGACTGCAGTGAGCCGAGATCACGCCACTGCAATCCAATCTGGGCGACACAGCGACTGTCTCACCAACCAAAAAAACGGCCGGGCGCGGAGGTCCACGCTTGTAATTCCAACAACTTTGGGAGGCTGAGGCGGGAGGATCACTTGAATTCGCGACGAGCGTGGCCAACATGGTGAAAACCCGTCTCTACTAAAAATACGAAAATTAGCCGGCCGTCGTGGCGGGCGCCAGTAATTTCAGCTACTCGGGACTGAGGCAGGAGAATCGCTTGAACCTGGGAGGCGGAGGTTGCAGTGAGCTGCGATCGCGCCATCATACTCCAGCCTGGGTGGCAGAGCGAGATTCTGTCTCAAAATAAAAAAATAAAGTCATCCTGGTAGTTAAAAGATTTGTTAAAAAGGATGCTAAAATTAGTTTGTCAGGGAGCCTGCGTATGTTTGTTTAACGAGTTATCGATAAAGCTTTGATTAAAAAAAAAAACACTCTGTTCCGTTTCAATAAAGCTTTGCTCAAATGGGGAAGCGGGAGCTCATCGCGAGAGTCAGGTGAGTCGCGTTTCTTGTTCGGGACCTGATCTCGCGTTGTTTGATGAAGCCGCGGAGTGAGGTGAAAGCGTAGCAGGAAACATCGCGAGAGGCTACCGGACTCTCGCGACGATTTCTGGGATTGCCCCTCCCCCCCTCCAAGTACCGTTTCGGTTTAATCTAGTGTGTGACTGAGTCTGTGAGGGAGCGAGTGTGTGTGGTGTGGAGGTGAGACGGAAGCAAGAAAAGGGGCTCCCTCAGGAGCAAGGGACAAAGGGGGCGTAAGGCACCTAGGCCGCGGGACCCCGGCGACAGGAAGCCGCCCCGAGCCGGGCTACCGGGTAGGGGAAGGGCCCGCGTAGTCCTCGCAGGGCCCCAGAGCCGGAGTCGGCCTCACAGCCCCGGGCCATCGGCTTCTCACTTCCTCGACCTCCCCGGCTCCCGGGCCCGAGGACTGGCTCGACGGGGCGAAAAAAGGAAACAGACTTGAGCCAGCTCCCGGTTGTCTCGCAACTCCACTGCTGAGGAACTCTCATTTCGTCCCTCGCTCCTTCACCCCCCACCTCATGTAGGAGGGTGCTGAGGCGTCGGGAGGGAGGAGGAGCCTGGGCTACCGTCCCTGCCCTCCCCACCCGCTTCCCGGGGCGCTTTGGTGGGCGTGGAGCTGGGGTTGGGGGGGTGGGTGGGGGTTGCTTTTTGGAGTGCTGGGGAACTTTTTCCCTTCTTCAGGTCAGGGGAAAGGGAATGCCCAATTCAGAGAGACATGGGGGCAAGAAGGACGGGAGTGGAGGAGCTTCTGGAACTTTGCAGCCGTCATCGGGAGGCGGCAGCTCTAACAGCAGAGAGCGTCACCGCTTGGTGTCGAAGCACAAGCGGCATAAGTCCAAACACTCCAAAGACATGGGGTTGGTGACCCCCGAAGCAGCATCTTTGGGCACAGTTATCAAACCTTTGGTGGAGTATGATGATATCAGCTCTGATTCCGATACCTTCTCCGATGACATGGCCTTCAAACTAGACAGAAGGGAGAACGACGAACGTCGTGGATCAGATCGGAGCGACCGCCTGCACAAACATCGTCACCACCAGCACCGGCGTTCCCGGGACTTACTGAAAGCTAAACAGACCGAAAAAGAAAAAAGCCAGGAAGTCTCCAGCAAGTCGGGATCGATGAAGGACCGGATATCAGGAAGTTCAAAGCGTTCGAATGAGGAGACTGATGACCATGGGAAGGCACAGGTAGCCAAAAGCAGCAGCAAGGAATCCAGGTCATCCAAGCTCCACAAGGAGAAGACCAGGAAAGAACGGGAGCTGAAGTCTGGGCACAAAGACCGGAGTAAAAGTCATCGAAAAAGGGAAACACCCAAAAGTTACAAAACAGTGGACAGCCCAAAACGGAGATCCAGGAGCCCCCACAGGAAGTGGTCTGACAGCTCCAAACAAGATGATAGCCCCTCGGGAGCTTCTTATGGCCAAGATTATGACCTTAGTCCCCCAAGATCTCATACCTCGAGCAATTATGACTCCTACAAGAAAAGTCCTGGAAGTACCTCGAGAAGGCAGTCGATCAGCCCCCCTTACAAGGAGCCTTCGGCCTACCAGTCCAGCACCCGGTCACCGAGCCCCTACAGTAGGCGGCAGAGATCTGTGAGTCCCTATAGCAGGAGACGGTCGTCCAGCTACGAAAGGAGTGGCTCTTACAGCGGGCGATCGCCCAGTCCCTATGGTCGAAGGCGGTCCAGCAGCCCTTTCCTGAGCAAGCGGTCTCTGAGTCGAAGTCCACTCCCCAGGTGAGCTATTTGTCTAACAGTCTTTCCTCATTTAGGGTGGGTTGTGAGGAATTGGCATTCAGCATGTTAACGTTGTGTGGAAGCCCCCAGTGTTCATCATTGACTAGAACATTTTGCTGTCAGCTAGTCATTCCAGTGTGTGAGTCTGTCTACCCTTAATCCAGAATTTGAGAAGTGAAGAGTGCATAGGCCTCAAACCACTAAAGGTAGGTAGTTCCAGTGGTGGGGTCTTCAGTTGTAAGCTTCTGAGTGAGAAACGTCAAAGGCTTCTGCTTAGTGATTGCATGGAGATGATACTAGTTCTCAGAGCATGTCTAGCTATTTCTGTTGCTTAGTTTTAAATTTTTAAAAATTACATTGGTATTAGTGCTTTAGACTCTGTGAGACCTGGTTGAAGACCAAAGAAATTACAAAGTTTCATTTGTGAAGTTATTTGCCTAGGTTACCCTATTTATCTTGTCCACTGAGTCCCCAAACCTGTACATTTATTCATTTCCTACTTGGCACTGTTTTAATAATTTACAAAATATTCCTGTTTTTTAACTGATGTTTTAGTGGAAATTCAGCTGATTAGTCTGTTATTCTTTTGATGGCATAACCTGTCAGAAATTGGTTCCAAGGACAATTTGGTTTTCTTTACAGCATCATCACTGACCTACCTTGTGACTGCTGACAATTTTCAGC